CATGGCACCGACACTTCGCAGGATTGATAAATCATAGGTTTGACAATACATCGACATCGGCAGAATCGACTCCATACAGGACAACATTGCATACAATCGACAGCGACGTAAGTCTGACATCAGCATAGTTTAACATAGCCAGAGATTACAGTTAGCAACACCGCATGACCAAGATAGAAAGAACTTGATCTTGCATAGCATTGACAACGGCATGGGTTCGAAACTGGTTTTTGAACTACGATGTCAATCTTGTGCTGGTAGAAAGACTGTGGATTTTATGCAGTGCTTACCTGTACTGCATTTCCGAACTATAAAGTAGTTCATCAGTTGAGAATTTTCATCTTCATACTGGACCTTTTTCATCTATATACAAACTACTTGCCAGTGCACTTGCTGTTTGTATAATCTTGCATTTCAAGTCTAGGATTTTCTGCCGTCAACTAAAAATAAAATACGCATTAAAGGTTATATATATATTATAATATATATAATTGCTTGTTTGCAAGTATGGGATATAAAGAAATTGCACAGAATTAGTTAGAAAACTATGTCTATATCAAATAAAACAAAATTATCACATTTCTTAATTATGGGCTAAACCTGTGAGACATCATGTTATGATATCGCTTCTAAAATTATACAGACACAATGCTTATCTGATTCGCCAAAATTACTTGAAATTTTAACCAACCATTTCAGGGAAACCACTAATGCAAGTAAAAATTCACATTTTTATGAAACCTTAATTAAAAAATCGAATTACTTTTGAATCTTGTTAGTACATTGCTCTCTTAAAATTAATAAATATATAGGCAGATATACTAACTAGTTAACTTATATGTCATGCGTAAGGACATATTCATATGAAATTGTTTGCAGAAGCATTTTATATATTATTCAAAAGGTTTTTAATACGAGGAATTTGCTGAAATATGAACGTTAACAAGGTTCTTTAAATGTCAAAAGTTAATGTATTTTTATTATGAATGTAATATTACTATGTTTAATTTTAATATTATGCTTCATTATTATATATTATTTGTATAGTTAGATTATATGTCATCTTCATTATGAATGCTTTTAATTATTGATTTTAATTTCACTAAATACCTCATATCATTAATATTTTTTATTTTGATATATTTTAATAATTCTAAAAGTTGAGTTTAATTACAAAACCTTTTTTCTTTTAAAATTTAAGACAGCCAGAGGTATACTATAGATAAACAAAATAGATATAATGTAGACGTGTAAAGAGTGCCTTGACGGCGAATTGGCCCGACGGCGAGTTGCCCAAAGGCGAAATGGCATGACAGCGAAGTGGCGACGGCAAAACGGCAGAAGTGGATAGTCCTATTCCCTGCATTTCTTAGAAATTGGGCATGAGAACTGGAAAAGAAATATGTATGCCCGATTTCAAAAATAAGTTAGTATAAAGCTAGATCTTATTTATCTTTTAAGATGTTATAGAAGATTAGACAATATACTAAATTTAATAAGTTAAAAATGATTTTTGTTTTATAGTATCTCAGATTAAATTCATGTTTCGTTTACTGTTTTTTGTAATTAATTTCCGCTTATTTTCTGGTGTAAGAATCTTATACGATTGGAATAAGCAAACTGCTCTATTTCTTCATACAATGTTTATGAATTGAAGACAAATATTGAAATAGATTCTTCTGGAGAACTTCTATAGTGAGTAGTGATTTATTTTTGTCCTTTATTCGGGGTTGAATACTTTCCCATTGCCAGTGACAATTAATGATGTGCATTTAATTAAGCTTCTTTAATTCATTTAATTACTTGTGAGGAATAATAGTTTGGAAACTGTTCATTGGTACATTTAGATAAATAATTTGTTTTCTGACGATTACTGCAATAGAATTTAATTTAAAATGTTGTGCCGCATATAATGTAAAGCTGCAGTGTATATTGTTGCAACATGCAGTTCTCAATTCAAGTTAAAATTAAAATAATCTCAACTTTCCTAAGTATCCTGAGTTTTGGAGTTCTGTAATGTAAGATGTTCTGTTCCATACTCAGAAATTATTTTGATAATCATAATTTAGATTGCATATTATGGCTGGATGGATAGAATGGATTTCTATGGGATAAATCTACTAGCCAACACTGAATGCACAAAAAGGCCTGAAGCTATATATTTATTTCAAAATCAAAAGATATCCTCCTTCAGTGACAAGAAATAAAATTAAACCGGGCGGGGAGAACTCGTGAGAATGATCTGCGATGACGTTCATGAAGAGTACTTGCCTAAAAAAAGAATACTTCTGGAGCAGACAAATAATGCTTCCCTAAGGTGAGGAATATGGAGTACATAAGAAGCACCTTCCTAGAAAGAAAATTCTGCAGGAGCATATGAGGAGTGCCTGCTTCACGTGGTTAAATTTTTGAAGCATACAAATTATGTCTTCCTAGGGAGTGAATATTGAAGCTTACAATAAATACCTGCCCAGGGAGGGAATATTTCTAGACCACATGAGGAAAGCGTGTCCAGGGAGGGAATACTTTGGGAGCACCAGCTGAGTGCTTAATTGAAGCAACTGGCTCTTATTTATGATACTAGTATGAAGTATTGCGGAAATATCCATGTAACCAATCTGTGCGGCCACAAAAAGTTAGATAAGGGTCAAAACTGTTGGTCCTTATTGACATTATCCGTTCACTGTTGGTGGGTTAGAATATTAAAAAATACTTCACTACATAATCTCCAGCGATAACTAACACTCAGCAGGGGATAATTGGATTAATACAACCGTGTTTAATAGATGAGCGTAGCCACGGCGAAGGTGATGAACAGTTTTATTACCCGTTCCCCGCTGTCCATTGATTAGATTGAGTAAACTCCTTTTTGATGTGTTTTATCTCAATTCACCCTGTAAATATGTTTCACAGTTAATTCTACAAAACTTATGCAATTCAAAACGGCTGTCGTTTTTTCGTCTTGTGAACACAGGATCTGAAGTAATTCGAAATTATACTGATATTGTTTACTTGTTCCATAACTCTCTTGCACAGAAACAAGACGTACGATAATTTCTAAGAGATTACTGCTTTATGCTACATTTGTGTGCAAAATATCTTCACTTAATTGGCAAATCTTTTGATGTTAAAATGCAGTTGGATGTTGCCAAGAGGTCAGCAGCAAAGCCATAATTTTATTCCCAATTACAAGTTTTGATTCAATTCGGTGAATACTCGAAATTATAATGAGGTCTTTTTCCTCCGCGGAGGCATGTAGTGATTTATTTTCAAGTACCTTTTTGGGTTGTTTTATTTTATTTTTTCTCTTTCTTTTCTTTCGCAGATGAAAGCTAGCAGCTTTTTTCAATTCGCTTTCTCCTACTCAAGAATATATATATATATATATATGCAGCTACTTTCAACTGCATCTACATTTCGTTTTCCTTTCTTGTTTCAAATAAATAAATAAAAGAAATACATTAGTCAGTTTCATTAATGAGTATCTTATGGAATTATCAGCTTTTTTAAAAATTCTTTCGCATCAAATTTTACTCAGAATGGTTGCAATTTTAAAGTTAAATAAATTCTTATGCTATGTAAATTTTACAAATTAAGCTGCTGTTTGTTTTAAAGCAATGAAATTAAAATTTTTTAACATTTAAGAAAATGAAGCATTTTTAAATATATGAAAGGCGCACAGGAACAGAATTACCAATGCAACTTCAGTTAATGAAAAATAATTTCAGCTAAATTGGAAATATGAATCACTGGACTGTAGGAGAATGTTAAGGTTTTCTTTTACCTGCAGAAGATGAGAACCCTTGATGAAATGTAATATGGAGCGAAAAACTTCACGGCACATGCTTCGTAGAAGTAGTAAAGTTAACGCGTAAAGCAGAATCATACCACATACGTTACATATTTCCGCGTGTGTAACATGAATACGAACCTGTTTCTCTGTTCCTCCGCTGGCAGATAGCCTTTGAGAACTTTACCTATAAACATCCTAAACCAATTTTTGGATCTCTCACTAGATCGCCAAACCATCACTGGGTGGGGACTGGCTGTAAATAAAGTCGGAATTAAGGGAAGCTGGTTACCGGCTGCTTAACGCACTGTTGTATAAGTGCATCATGAAAAAAGAAGTTCTGGGTCCGAGTTCCACTCGAATTTTAAAACATTTCGAAATCAGTAGTCATTAAAAACAAAGAATGGAAAAGCCTTGTTAAGTGATTCGTTCCTGGAAGCGAATTCATGTCTTATTGCTTTTATGCTCTTTTACCAGAAATGTACAACCGAATAGTGCAGTTTTAACACTCAATAACAAATCTATTTCAGCATCTCATACAAGCACAAACCATTCCGTGACAGTAGCAATCACCCAGGTTTTTCTATGAACTATTATTCGCTCGCTTTTCATCCTTTACTGATGAGCCGCAGTGAGGTGCGAGTCTTTAAGGTAGATTCGTAACGAAAGTAGGCTTTCTGTGTGTTTTATTTTGAGATGCCAAGTTTTGCGCAGTGTGAATTTCATACACGGCTCTAAAAAATATGCTGTAGTGTTAGCAAATGCCAGCTTTTTTTGTCAATATTCTGCGAGAAACTACCCGTTTTACTTCCTTGTACGAAGTAAAGCAAGCATTGTAATCGGGAAAAATCCGATCTCGAATCCATTTGAACGATGTTTTTGCGTGATATATGTACGTACGGACAGAATAAAGGACTCTTTTTCACTAAACGGATTGTATGGATTCAGAAGAGTTTTTTCCCTTGACTTCTGTACGTAAGTACGTATGTATGCATCTCGCTTAACTCGAAACGAGTAGGCTCAGAACGTTGAGATTTTGTGTATGGGACTGCTTGCTGTAACATGTAACAGTGCACCTTCCTTTTTGGTTACTATCTGTTGCATCAAAAGTATATATACATATATATTTATATATGTACCCACTCTGTTATCCGGCTCGCTGAGCTCAGTTTTTTATTCTTGTATGTAGGTAAATTGTGCATTTCTTTGCTTTAAAAGGGATTGAATTATGTTGTTCTTATGTTCCGGTTAAGGTTTTTATGCCTTTAGTCAATCGTCATGCAATAGTTGTAGAATTATAGTCATTTAAGTGCTAACGAAACCGCAGTATGTTCACATTTGAAACTTTTATCGGAATTATGAATTAAATCAGTTTCTTCACCAACTTTTTTTTTTTTTAATCAAAACATCTCTCCTCCTTGTTTGCTGGCCGAATTGCTTGTTTTTGGATTGAAAATCTAGTTTCATTTGGGGGGGGGAACCCTCTTTTCTAACTGTACTTGGTGTTTTATGTTTTTCTGTATTTTACAGTTTTTAGTGAAGATGTTTTGAGTTTTTATGTATTTTTGCCTTACCGCGGTGAGGACTGAATTAATCTCTAATAAAATTCGAGAAAATAAGTTTAAATAAAATGCAGCAAAAAATTGTGTATAATTTAATAGGCTGTACAAGGAAGATATGTGGCGTTCACATATTTTATTCTATGAAGTAACTGCGAATGGTGACTAATTTCTCGATATGTTGGAAAACTAGCTGTTATATGAACTGATGTAAAGATTGTTATTGTTGCTTATGCCCACTTATATACTTATATACATATATATTTATATATGTACTGACGTAGTCAGTCCAAGGCCCATGAAATTCCTCGTGGCGAGGAGCGCTATACGCCTGCCGTTGGCAAGAACCTCGAGCACTATTCAGGAGAAAATGCGATTTAGCTCAGTTCTGCCCCCAGTTTTGATAGAGAACACCCGGAAGGAACAGGCAGGTCCGGAGGTCTCCCACACCTCTCCCCTTCCAACAAACCCACACGAGAGAACTTTAGGCTCGCCGCATATTTAGAGTGTCCCCATGCCGCACCGACACTATACATTTACAAACATCTATGGCAAACATCCATGGCTTCTCCCGGTCGTCCAGCTAGGGACTTCGTAATCTATTAATGCATGTATTACGAAAGATTTTATCAAAAGTAAAACAAGTTTAGGGTGAGTTCGATTTCTATGTCATATGATCTGGACACACAGATTGAAAGAGTGTAATTAATGTCTGAGGAAACTGGGCAGATGCTAATGCTGATGGTGTATGTTGGAGGCCTTTCAAGGCGAGAGAGGTATTATGTGCTGTACTGTGCTATTGAAACTATCTGTCATCTTCCTTTGCTCTTTCGTACTTATTTAGATTCGACTTCAAGGTGGCTTTGTGACAGTGTTTACAAGTTGAACTCAGAATTTTTGTGCGTCTTTGTTACGTCTTGTGCTATGATCATACTTTTTTAATGTGTTGTTTTAAGCAATGAATGTCGTCAGTGTTGTAATTTTCTCTGTTTAGGGAATTTTCATTACATTATTTCAGATTTTGATGAATGTGATTATTTCGTATAATTAATTATATGAATTAATATAAATACATTT